CTATTCTGAATAGAATTGAAGTCTCTCAATATCTTATGATTCCCATCAACACTCTGACATATATCAAGGATGCACTTCTCAAACCCGATGAGGATCAAGTTCGCCAGTCTTTCATGAGACATCTACTGACGGAGGTCTGTAAGCACATTTGTCAAAGCATAAAAAACTCTTTCACATGTTGCAGTTGAGGATCCAATTGTTGATGCTGCCTCATACCGTTCTGTAATGGCTGGAAAGCCCTTTAATTTCAAATGGAAAAGCTTTAGCAAAACAGACACCAGGTTATGTTTGTCATTTTTTCTTCTAGTGGTCACTGATGTATTTTTGGCAACATCCATTTGAGCCAAAACAAATCTATCAATTTCAAGGCCGATCAAGTCTGCAAGAAATCCCATTTGGTCTTTGTTAAAGAAATGTTCTGATTCGGGATCTAGTGACTCCATGGCACGAATGAGATGCGAATTTTTCTCCGAGAAACGTTCATCAAGTTCAACCAGGACAGTGTCAATTAGACAGAACCACGATCGTTTGAGGTTATCATTTCTGACAAATTGGTGTTATCTACGTGCAAATGGTGAACAATGTAGTCTTTGAAACCAGAGTTTTCACGACGTCTTCTCTTTTCTGCAGGCTGATGATCTTGTACTGTTACATTGTTATCATCACCTGCAGTATTTTACAGAACCAGCTTAACTTCATCCAGCAAAGTGGTAAATGTTTCATCGGTTCTCAACAAAGCAATGAATGCTCGCGAAGATGATATCAGCACCAAGGCCTGCATCAGATCGATACTGACTGATTGTAGATGAATGTTGACAGATGCTAATATACTCAATGCTTTATGGACAGCTACAGCATGGAACAAAAGAGGTTTCTTTGATCAGCTTCAACAATCCGATTGCCTCCACCACTAATTCAGGTAAGAATGTGTTATTCTCATTTGTGGCAATGTCCGACAGAATCGTCAAAATAGCTTTATATGATCCAGTGATAACTTTCACAGTAGCTAGGTGGCCAGTCCACCGCTGTTCCAACAGTCGTTTCAGTGCTTGCCTAGTGTAGTGAACAGACACAGTTGGCTTACGTATGAAGTTGTACAGGATGTTGCAAGTGCCAAAAAAGGAGTCCACGTCAACATCTGCAGCCGAAATCGAACGTTAACTTCAACAATACTTTCTGACTGCAGTTCAATTACTCACTACCAACACACATTATTCCCGTCACGTTGTGAGCGTCTTATATAAAAACCAGACTAACATATATCTAGTAAATGCTAGGGCATTCACGAAGGTACAGGATAGTTCTAGAAACGTGGCGTGACACTAGTCACGTGACCTCGCTGACGCAACAAAACGCAATAAAAAACACAAAAGTCGAAAGCATAAGTACAAATATATTTTATTTTATAAATACTGATTTACAGCAACTAATACTTCGGTTACCTAATATTTTTTATACATGAGTACATTGGAATTATTCAAGTTCGAAAAAAGTAAAAAGAGGTATTATTTTATTTTTTAAGGCAGATTTTTAGAGGACCCATTTTTGTTATGAGAGGGCGCATTGCGCCCTTTCGCGCCCCTGTGGCTAGGGCACTGGATTTAAACCCACGACCCTAGGATTGCGAGCGCCTTTACCTGGCCAAAGACATTAAAAGAGTGTATAATAATAGTATTCAAACTAAACTATATTCCCCGTATCGCGTTTTTTTCAATCATAAACTCACCAGGCCTGCTGGAACATAGCAGACACAGTAGTGGTCGGAACATTATTCATATAAATAATTTATCAGACAACAATTGCTATGGTGTGAATGCTTTTTTTTCAAGCTGGCGAAGCATGATTATAATTAATTATACATGTCACTAGACAGCAGTATTAGGCTTATTATATTTGTTATCACTGTATTTCTTTAGTCCCTCAAGAAATATGAAGAATTAGAAAAGTGTCTAAATTTAATAATACTCACAATTAACAGAGAATCACAATATAGTGTTACGAAAAGCGGATATACTCGAAACGTCGCTATTAATTAAAATTAAACATTAACAACTTTAATATATAGAAAACCATGTAGATAATTAACAAAGAACGTATCTAGAGTTTCTGCAATTAATTTTTCAACATGACAGCGAAGCGTGAATTTAAGTATCGTATTTTTCGGTGTA